AAAACCGGGTTTTTTAAGAGTGTAATTGGTGACGTAATTATAATTGCATTACTAGACCTAATCAAAATACTGATATTTAAAGAATTTGAATTCTACACGCCGACGAGACTTAAATTTATCTGGTGTTTACTGAGATTCTTATTTTCACCTAGTTTCAACTTTGTAGGAACCTATAGATGTTATAAAAACATATATATATATATATAATTATCTAATAAAAACAAATAAAAACAAATATACATAATTAAAGATAAAAAGTTTCATGTTATAATTAGAAGTAAAAATATAATTATATTAATTTATTTATATGAATATAGTTTTTATATTTAATAATAGTCTTTCTTTATTCACACCATTCGGGATCAAAGCGACTTTAAAAGGTTTGGGCTTACAGAAGTTTTATGTTTATACGTAGTAGTTGATTTTAAAATAGTATTCTTATAAAGAGAATTTTTATCATATGATGGACATGCTTATATGGGATAAATTAAGTTCTTTATATAACTATATATAATAATAAATTAATTACAATAAAATAGGTGTTCTTATAAAGAGATTTTTATCGTATGATGGATGTATGGGATAAATTATATTATTTGTAATAATAGATTAATTTTAAAAAAAACAAACATTTTAAACACATCTTAAATATATATATATATAGTATATATATATACAGTGTATATATATAGTATATATATATATATACAGTATATATATATATATATGATATAATCAACAGTTAATAGTGATTTGACAATTTTAATTGTAATATTTTTACGTATAATCGTGATAAATTTATTATATTTAAAGAACCAATATTCGCAATTATCCTGTTCTTGGCGAATATCTCATTGGTAAGAAAAAACGAACTATGGCTATAGTTGCCTGATTTTATAACTATCATAACTATCATAACTACCGGTATAGTATCGTTATAGCTTCCTAATTTTATTTGAAACTTGAATATTGTGAGCTATACTGTATTTGATCTAAACTTGAAGGATCCGAAATATTAAGATCATTTAGGTTCTTGCCAAGACTTCTTTCTTTGGCGATGCCCGTCCGAACCAACTTTGATCGTCGAATCACGTGATCAAGCCATTTACCAAATCATATAACCTTATCGTTATGACATGGAGACAATGACATTTCATCCGGACAAATACTGTATCAAGCTAAATTTGCATTTATAGATATTTTAATTATTGTTATTTTGCAATTTGTTCTCATTAACGCTATCAATCTTGATTATCTTGATTTATATCAATACCTCGTTAGCGCTATGAAATAAACAAGCAAAGTACTTTCTTGTTAGATCAAACAAGAAAAAAAAAACACTATATCGTTATCGATTTTGTTTCGATTACATCATCAAATCAAACAATTACCTATCAAGATTTATCATTATGTTATTGACTTAACTATGACGTGATAAGTTTCACAAAATTTCAAATATTCAATTTTGTTTAAAGATTACTTTAATAGGATGTTGGTTTCTCCACAACTTTTCAAATATGTAAATGCTATTTATAATATATATTTACGTTTTTTTTTGATTCTTTAGCGTGAATGTTCCGATTTCTACTTCCGATAATCTATTTATATCTCTAAACAAGTATTCACACGATTTTTTAACTATTGTTTGGAAATTACAATAACATTACTCTTGGTTTCACAAGTATCCTATTATATTACCTATTATGTAATGAGTTTCTTAACGCAAATTAGCTAACTGCTTTATTCTATTTTCATCAACAAAGTACACTAAAGTTCAATGAGAATTACTCATTTAACTTTATTTGCACAAAATTCACGAATATATATCTTAATATGTAAGTAGACATCTTACGATATCTTAAATTCCAATGACCTATTTAAATCTTTATACGCATTGATCGATTTGATGATAAGCATTCCTGTTTCAGTAAATCAATGCACCATTTGAGTCGGTTTTAAAATTTTTAAACATTCAGTACAAATTCTATTAATAGCAAATTGATTATCAGATTGCCTCATTACTAAATTGATTCTGGCTTAGACAATTATTCTAATTATTCAAATTTTTTATTGGCTAATTTCTATCAATTAAATGTGATTTTAACATTAATGTTAACGTTAACGTTATCTTTATGAAGACATTGAAAGAACTTATCAGTTATCGATAACTGATAACTGATAACGTACGTACGTACTTACGTACGTATGTATGTACGTAAGTACTATACAGTTATAATTATAATCCCAATTTGTTAGTTATTGATCGACTGGGCCGATAAATCGATTAACATTAGACACTAACGCTAACCTGAAATATATTAAAACTTTAATGTTTACAAACCAGACTCGTATTACCACTTTAATTGTAAATTAATGAAAAAAAATAAGTCAGGTATCGTTAATATTTAACCTTATGTGTAACCTTATTGAAATGCAAGGATATATATTGTATACGTATGATTATTATTATAATAAAATGGCTTAGTAGAATTACTTATACGTAAAAAACAAAAATTCAAGGTTTTCTTTATTTATTTATTTACTGGGTTTTATTCAAAAAGTAGGCTGGTAGGACGGGGAGTATGCCGGGTAATCTTTACTAAAAAATAGATCGGATATTTGACTCTCCGGTAGTATACAACATATTAGAATGACATGAAAATGGGTTCTTATTAGCACAATAATCACAAAAATCACAAAAATTACAAGAATCGCATAACAGATAATGGATCGGATATTTGACTTTGCCGATAGTATGCAACATATTAAAATGACATGAAAATGGGTTCTCATTGTCACAAAAGACAAGAATTACAAGAATCACATAACAGATAATGTACAAGAATCAATGTAAAGTTTCACGTAATTGTGTTCTCTTAATTTTTGTTAATTTCCAATTTACATTACTGCATTATACGGTGTTTTTAATTAATGTTGTACGTCATAATTAATGTATCTACACCAAGACTTAAAACACCTAGTACGTACTTATCTTCATTATAATTAGGTTTCCTAATGAAATTTTGTATTCAAAATTTTCACCTGAAGTAATTTGATTCTAGACACAATATTTATATATTGAATCAACACTTTTCCTATTTTCGAAAAAAAAATCAAATAAAAAGCAATGGGATCAATCGGACACAGGTGGTTTAATATTTGATTATAACAAGCATAAAAGGTAAAATCTGAATGGGCTTATTTGATTATAATGTATCAAATTAATAATGTGTTACCCAAACATGTTTTATTATTTGTAGTAATTGATATTAACTGCATGTTTTAAAGTACTGTATATTGTAACAGAAAAAAGATACGTAATACATTCTTATTTCCGTGGAGTGCAACATCGTTAATAACAGCACGGGAGTAAGCATATACATACTTACGCGTGCGTATACTGTACTCATTCATTAAAATAATTGGCCGAATTGATCATAATTTAATTGATCTCCTAATCAGTTAATTACAATTATATTGTTTTACACTGATAAAAGATACTATTGGCATAATTATTTATTATTTAAATTATTTAATGTAATGTCATTTAGTACATTATTATCACACAATTTAGCCGAAATTTAATTTTCTCGTGATATAAATGTAATCATAAATGCATTATCGATAATTTAGTTATATCCCCCACTTATTTTTTCCTAATTTCCTTATTTTCAAATAAATAAATCGGTTCCTACTTTAAAGATAGACAATGCACATTAAAAATCTAAATAGAGTTAATATATATTTATATCTTTACTATTACTGTAGTTAGAAAAAAGTTTCGTACTGATATAATCCTCCTTTTTAAACAAATGCGGTTATAGACACCCGTCATTAAAGTGAACCATTTTCAGAATAAATGTATATTTGAGATTTTTGTGCATTTTTGTGCATGTCAATACGTATAAATTTTTCCAAATAAATAATAATATATATGTGCGTGTGTATATATATTTATATATACTGTACATAAATCAGTATATATTGTAATAATTATTGTGTTATAAATATATATGTATATATAGTAAATATAATATATATTGTAAATAATGTAATAATTTCTGTGATATGTGATAAAGGTTTTTTGTATTCGATAAATAGGCAAATATAGTTATTTACCATAACAAAAGTTTGTGTAACTATCTCGCACCAAATCCAAAAGTTCCCATCTTTTGAATAATTTTAAATATTACTGTATTATTTTATTTTATTTTTTTTTTTTATTTATAGTATACGTTGAAAAAAAGGCAACTTTGGGCGTTCTTTTGTGGTCTACACGGCAAAAATCGTTAAAATTGCAACTTTTAGAAAGTTCGTGATAGGGCTTAATTTTATAGAGATATAAGAAAAAATTATCTATTAAGTAAAATTGTAAAATTTGTGAAAATATTTTCAAACATTCGGTCATATGGTTATTCTGTACTATATAATTAATTTATTAGATTTCGATCAAAAAATATATTATGTGTTTAAATGCTACAAACCAATGATAAAGTTTTAGGAACTAATTAAAAAAAAAAAACAATTACGAGATGCAAGGATAAAATGTACACAAAATGGTAATTTAACACGGCATATTTTATATTATCAATTATTGCTGATATTCCTGTCAAATGTAATTTTTTTTTGCTTCTGACCAGATTGTATTCGTACTTCCCCCAATTTTCTGATAGTTTTTTGTCTGTATAATGAAGATTCCCAAACTAAGAATAGAATTTATTTTCCTTTTACAGTTAGGGATAATTAAGGAAAGTCAATTTTTGTAACCGTTTATTTTTATTTCATCCATTTTTTTATACAAATCAATTTTCTTTTCTTTTTACTCTCGATTCTCTTTTATCCCTAAAGTAATATTTCTTTTTCTTTTTCCTTTTTTTTTTTTTTTTTTCTTTTCCTTTCCCTTCTTGTATTTTTTTTTTTAAATCATTCCTTACTAGTCAAAACGGCCTTCAAAATAGTTTCACTATTTTTTTTGCTCACCCAATTTAAATTTTTCGATTATGAAAAGATTTTATTGGGCCGAGCGAGTGTCATTTAGGTTTATTTCCATTCTAATTTTTTCTATAATACTTTTTACGTTCTTTTTTCAATCCTGTTCCGCAGATGAAATAAATTATCAAGAAGATCCTTCATTCGAAGGATTTCAAATAATACAATATGCTACATATAATGATGGAACGATATTACTTAGAATTCGTCCTGATGGTGATGGGAATTGTAGAGCAAGTGGTTTATATTTTCGTTTAATAAGAACTGATGGAACAATTTCAAATATTGCTTTAAACAATACTTCTAGTTATAATATTTCTTCACAAAATTATTGTTTTGTAAATAATGAACTCGCCTTTACCTTAAGACCTTTGATAATGTCAAAACCGCAGAGGATGACTTTAACTTGGTTAGCTGGCTATGCATTTCCCATAAATTTAATTAGTAATCCAACTGATAGTGTACGAGTTTATGGAATTGCTACAAATTATATATTAATTTCTTATGAGTGTGGAGATTTGACAAACAACCCTAGCGTTTGCGGACTTTTATTGGACTGGAATGGGAATGTTTTAAGTTCGTAAGTTGATTAATTTGTCAATAAAACCTTATAATTTTCCAATGAAATTTAATTAATTAATTAATTATTATTTTATTTTATTTTTTTATTTTTTTTATTTTTATTTTTTTAT